CCCCCCCCCACTTCCTCTCCTCTTTCTCCTCCTCCTCCTCCTCTTCCACTTGCCTTCCCCCCCTCTTCCTTTCCCTCCTCTTCCTCCTTCCCTTTCTCTTCTTCCCTTTTCTCCTTCTCCCTCGTCTTCCTCCTTCCCTCCTTCCTCTTCTTTGTTTCTCCTTCTCTTTCTCCTCCCCCCCTTTTCTCCTCCCTCTCCTCCTCCTCCTCCTCTTCTCCCTCCTTCCTTTTCTCCTCTTCCTCCTCTTCTATGTTTCTCCTTCTCTTTCTCCCTCTCCTCCTCCTCTTTCTCCTCCTCCCTTTTCTCCTCCTCCTCCTCCTCCTCTCCCTCCTTCCTTTTCTCCTCCTCCTCCTCCTCTTTGTTTCTCCTTCTCTTTCTCCCTCCCTCCCCTCCTCCTCTTTCTCTGATCCCTGCATGGAGAGGCAGCCTTGGGGTGGCTGGAGGAGGGGAGGGGTCGAGTGGCTGGCTCTCTCCGAGGGAGCAAAGGTGGGGGGAGTGAGGGTCAGCCTCTCCCCTTGTTCCGGCCCACTGGAGACCCCCTCCCCCAGCTGCCTCTGGAGCCCGTCTTTGCTTTCTCAAACTCTCTTGCGAAGAGCCAAACATGGGGGCCGCTCCCCCTTTTGCTGGAAAGCCGACCCCCCTCCCCCACAAGAAGGAGTACTGGCCCCCAGGACTTACCTGGGCTCAGGCTGTGTTGCATTCTCACACTTTGGCTGGGGAGGTTGTGTGAATCCAGCCTGCCTGGGGTCCACCTGTAGGTCTTCTTCACACACCCCCTCCCAGGAGATGGAGCGGGGGGAACGGTGAGCAAAAGCTGGAAGCCCCTTGGTTTGGATGGTCCAGGCCTCCTTGTCTGGGCAGGGGGTGGACTGGAAGATCTTTGAGGTCCCCTTCAGCCCAGTTCTCAGTGGAGTCCTGCAAGGAGAGCTTTGGGTTGATGGGAAAGGAATGTCAATGTGGAAAACTTGTTAATAATAATAATAATGGTAATAATAATAATAATAATAATAATAATCCCAGCACAGTTATCTCATCTGCTGATACACTGCAGCTTTTTTGTGTATAACAACAGTAACAACAACAGTAATAATGATAACCCAGCATAGTTATCTCATTTGCTGTGTACACTGTAGTTTTTTGCATATAATAATAACAACAACAATAATAATAATAGCCATCCCTGGATGCACAAAATAACATTTAAGCCCTTCTTTCGTTCATTACAAATTTAAAAGATGGGTTACCTGGTGCTCCCACCGCCCTTTTCTCCTCAAACAATCTGTGAACGGGTAGTGAGTTTGCAGAACTGAAGGTCAAGTGGAGTCAAGGTCTCGCCGGCCTGGCCAAGCATTGTAAAGGTAAAAAAGGTAAAGGTTCCCTTCGCACCTACATGCTAGTCATTTCCGGCTGTAGGAGCGGGGTGCTCACCTCCGTTGCAAAGCCGAAGAGCCAGCGCTGTCCGAAGACGGTCTCTGTGGTCATGTGGCCGGCATGATTAAACACCAAAGGCGCACGGAACGCTGTTATTTTCCCACCAAAGAGGCTCCTATTTTTCTGCTTGCATTTTTTACATGCTTTCAAACTGCTAGGTTGGCAGAAGCTGGGACAAGGAACGGGAGCTCACTCCATGACGCGGCACTAGGGATTCGAACCGCCGAACTGCCGACTCTTCTGATCGACAAGCTCATTGTCTTAGCCACTGAGTGTCCCTCATAGTGGTGTTTGAACCTTCACCAACCTTCATCATCTTCATTCCAGCCATTGTCCACCCAATGAAGGATGAAGGCCTCTTCCGCATGTGTCCAACTAATACGTCCCTGGGCTTCCTTTGGTCCATTGGACCCACCATAACTTGCTGATGTGGTCGATCCCTTGTTTTGGGTCTCTTTCATGGATGCTTTTTAATCTAGTGGGATCCATTTTGGGGTCCACCTGCCATCTTCTTGCTATATGACCGGCCCGTTTCTGTTCCAATTCTTTGACTTTCTGGATGGCATCGTATTACTTCCGTTCATCCTCTTAATCCATGCATGGATCTTTCCGTGGCTGTCTTTGCACCCCTCGCAGCTTCTGTATCGGTTGTGAGATTGGTGCCCATGTTTCACCGGCATATGCAAGAGTGGTGGCGGCGGAGTGGTTGGAATGCAGTATTGCAGGCCGACTCTGCCCACAGCTAGAAAGTTCGATTCTGACTGACTCTAGGTTGACTCAGCCTTCCATCCTTCTGAGGTCGGTAAATGAGGACCCAGATTGTTGGGGGGAAGAGGCTGACTCTGTAAACTGCTTAGAGAGGGCTATAAAGCTGTATATAAGTGCTACTGCATTGCTCTCCCTTTTCTCTTTCTTTCTCTCTCTTCTATCCCACCCTTCCTTCTTTCCTACCTTCCTTCCTTCTTTCTTTTCTAACTTCTTTCCTTCTTCTTTCTTTCCTTCTTTTTTCTTTCCTCTTCCCTCCTTCCTTCTTTCCTAACTTCCTTCCTTCTTTCTTCCCTAACTTCTTTCCTTCTTCTCTTTCCTTCTTTCTTTCCTCTTTCTTTCCTCTTTCTTTCTTTCCTCTTCCTTCCTTTCCCCTTCCTTCCTTCCTTCCTTCCTTCCTTCCTTCCTTCCTT